AAAGCTTTTGTTCTCATTTTCTCACCACCAATATTGGGGACATAAACATTGACGTCAATTACTGTTTACCAACTTTGGCTGGAAACCAGCACTCACCACATTACTACTACACATACGTAAACTCTGTAGACTTTGAAAGCAAGCAATAGTTGTAACCAATGAATTCTGCCTCTGTGTCCATGTGTTTATAAGATGAAATATTTTTCGTGTCAAATAAAATTTCAGTACAAACTGGAATCGTCAGTCAGAGGAAAATATACAAACTGATAAATAAACTGTTGAAGTATGTGTTTCATAGAAACGTGATCAAATCCACACCGAGAAAGATGAACGCTACTCAGTAATTGACCAACTCACTATAATTATTATTCACTTCAGAAACTGGAACCCTAATGAAATCGATATTATGTTATTGATATCATGAATATCACTGGAAAACAGTCACAGAATTATGCAAATCGATGAATGAGAATTTACCATTATCTGAATATAGAAAACAGAATACGGATAAATTACTGCAGCGTACTCTACAGTTGAGAATGTAGCTTTAGAAATATATTCAAGTATTGGTTTGCAGAAACTTGATGAGTTTCAGGATTTCACAATCAGCTGACATCGATTGTGATCATTGGCATGCCTGGCAGTAATTGACAGCTGGTTCGACTTTGTTTTCGACCATTCACAATACGCCTCCACTGATGTTTAAACCCAGGACCTTCTGGTTATAAGGTGAGCTGGTAGAGCATTAGGCTACTGGAATCCAATCCAATGGTTCATGACTTCCAACTAGTGCACTTTGTTTTACGTTTCGCATTCTTTAGTAATTGATGCCAAGATATTCCACGAGATTATTTAAGAAGCATTTTTGAACTACTTGTGAGTAACATAAAGTGTTTGTGTAAATATTTGGTAGCGTCTCTTTCTAACATTTTGTCAAATAAAGGATAAATTAGCTTCGTTTCGTTGATTAATTTACACTGTGTGTGCATTCCATTTGGAATCAGGCTTTCCTTTCGGTGAAACTAAGCCATGTGAATATTTCCTCGTCATTATACTTCCATGAAACAAACCTATGAACTTCTCTGTACATGTTATTTTGTGTCGCTCTTCACAACATGTTTCCTTATTTTCGAAGTGAACACTTATTTTTGAATTCAGTGGTGAAATCAATCACTCTCGCCATTTATTTATTGTGCCATACTTCTGAGGTAGGCATAAATTCTGCAATACAACTATAATCAATTTGTAGAAGGATTTGCACAAACCATACTTTCAACTGTTTCTCGTTTGAAATACTTCATTTGTGTGAACAATATTTTTCTAAAGAGTCAAGGTGATGGACTTGGCCAGATGTGGTCAGTAAACTGGATGACATTCCTACTGAAACGAATCGGTCGTCTAATTAGATATATTGTTTCATAGTGCTTAACGTGTTCTTATCAAACAGATTTCGACAATCGATAACTGTGCACCTTAGAGCACACAGTGCACAAAAGAGTGATGAGATGGTGTCTAAAAGATGTACCTTTAATGTACATAGTCAAGGTGCTTACTCCAGTGTCCCCTAATCAGGATGGCTGAGAAACTGCTGCTTATCATCATTACTTTTCCCATAAAACATTCATTTATTACTTGTCTCATACTTTCAAACTATGGTTGTTGTGTAGTCGAAGTAATAATTCTGATTTTCAAGCAGAACGAATACAGCAACTTAGTGTCATTCCCTACATAACCACACACCGAAACGCAGTCAATGTTTGTAAAATTTAGCACAATTATGCAAAACGACGCGAATGCTATGAAACACTTTAAACTGAAGCGAGTGCATGTTAGTCAAACTGTCAAGGAAGGTATTTTTTAAAATTAAATACTTTCAAGAAACTGGAATACACTGACTTTTGTGAAAGGATTTTGATAGCACACTGAGTATTAACTCATCTCTACACCTGATTCAAATTCATGCACTAGGTTGCTTACTAGATCCTCAGTGAAATCATCAAATAATGTCAGTATTCTTTTCAATACCACTTTGATCTAATTGTATAAACCTGCATGCCATTTTTCACACGCAGCGTCACTAACAGTTATCACAGAACTGAATAAATTGTAGAACGGTTCTTCAAGACATCAATGTTTAATATGGCGTGCAGTGAGATTATGTAAATATTGATTAACCTGTTTAATAGAGAGAGAAACAAAAAATATAAAAGAATAGAACAGTCATGTGAAAGAGTGGTTTCTCAGCCCGATATGTGAATACCGACAGTTGTTGTTTCGTATATTATATCTACTGTCATGTGTAAAATGAAACAATCTAATTATAGTAAATGAGCAATGATTCACCTACACAAGCCTAATCGACTTCAAGTCACTGCTAAGTGCTTTTTATTTGATGATAGGTGTGTTTTGGCCAATGCGTTATCTGGCTCTTATTCTATTACCTAAACTTCTGACATCTTCTGGCAAGTTTAATATGAACAGCTACTTCCATTTCATGTAATTCACAGATGATTATTAGCCGTCACTGTTGTTTCCGAGGTATTTAAGCACCACCTACACTATTCCATGATCACGCCCAATAACTCACTTCAAACTGTAAGACATAAGCACAATTGTCATATCACTAATGAATACGTTATGGTCTTTATGTTTCAGCGAAAAACGAATAGTCCAATAGTAATAACCCATCACGTTCCTGATTTGCATTGAGAGGAGTAAAACGGTCTTAATACGCATCATAATTTGACCGAGTTTATGTCAAGTGAAACTGACAGACACCCTGTTGACGCAGACCAATTTGTTTACTTATATATTATACCACACGGTTAAATACCGGTTACTTTATGGAATTTCTACATTTCTTTCGTCAATATGGCGCCTGTGGTTTTGTGTATGCAGCGATATCAGAGAATATCTATCGTTTATTTCCGCAACTAATTTATGCCCTTGGGTTCCTATTGTGCTCACAATGAACACTGAGTAATGTAGCTAATGAGAAAGAAAAGAGGAATAAAGTCATGCAGATGAATTTACATTCTTATGTTTGAACCATTTTCCTAATATTGACATGCATAGGTTTAGGTTTCAAATATACGTAATGATGTGTGAATCTCCTCCTTAAATAAGGATTAGAGTCAGGCTGTATGATATTTTCTCTAAATAATGATTGCTTCAACTGTTTGAACTCTTGAGATACAATGCTAGGAAATTTTAATAGCCCTAGGAATTATTTTCGAAACAAATACAGGAATAGTGGTTATATTATATTTCCTTATGAAAATAATACGACATAGAGAACGTCGAAACACAATTTTACTTTACACATTATTCTGCCTACTTTCAGTAAGTAGCTCAAAAGTTCGTAAAATAAATTTTCCATAAGTGTAACGTATTCGATATATTTTTGCATGAATGTTGATGCATACAACAGAACTTTTACTCAAGTGAGCCATGGTTATACGGTTATAAACACAAGTAATTTCAAAATCATGTTTCAATAACTTCTACGCATTTTCATGATTCGACCATGGTAATGCGGACTAAATGTGGTCGAGAATCCTGAATGTATTTCATTTACGGTGTACTTGAATGAATGTGTGTCACAGATTTCATTGTATAGTTGTATAGTTGAAAATTAATCTGATGCTCACTAGTGACTGGCCCTATTCAGGCAGTTAACCTGGGGTTCTATTGGGAATCCGTGACCAGTAGGGTACAGTAGGTTGAAGATGAGGCATTAACTCATCGAAGAAGATATTGCGAAACGGTCGCGCTATGTCGTGAATTGGCGGAAGTTAGAATTCAAGGACCATTGCATCGGGTCCCAGTGGCTCAATAGTCTACGAGCTCGCTTGTAACCAGAAGGTCCTGGGTTCGAATCCCGGTGGGTGCGTACTGATGAAGAGTCCAAAACTAGGACGAAACAGCTGTCCAGTACTCCCAGGTTTTCCAGTGGTTCTCTAACTGATGTCAGCTCATGATGAGTTCCTCCATGCAATTGATTTTTCCACAAAGCCTCTTAACCCAGAAGCAGACACTCCTAATTTGTTTCAGCGAAATATTTGCCACTTTGAAGATTAGTTTGCGCTCACCCGAATTAAAGAAGAGCGTTCAGCACATTGCTTCATCGAATTTAAAGTCACATCGAAAGTCAAAGCATGTCCGACCGAACGAAATTCCGCTTATTTGTATACTTTAGATTACTGTTCTGTTCGAAGATTCTGTGAAATGACTAAAAATGATAAACTGTGCAAATACTCTGAGAACTCTGCAGTATATGCAATTAATAGTGTTCTCTGAGCTGGTTGATTCAGTTGCAGAGCTTTCGCCGTCATTCTGGATAACATCTTCAGCGCAATATTTAGCATAAAGTGAAATGATTTAAATTTCTTCATGAATGATAGGATTGCGTCTCCCGGTAACCATCTTTACATATGTCTTGACCACTTTCTATTGACTTGTATTTTAAACTTTCTGGTCACCTGATTTACTTTTTATTAGTTGGTATGTTTTGTCCATATTAACGTGTTTGTTAATTGCATTTTCGTTTGAGTACCAGGCTTCTAGGAATTCCCTGGCACTTTTCATGTTTTCCCTGTCTAAGATCTCGACATTCTTCCAATCAAACTGATGTCCATAATTGTCTACATGCATTGTTATGAAAGAATATAGATCGTGTCTTTTCACGGCTGATTTGTGTTCCTGGATTCTGATTTGAAGGGGACGCCCACTTTGGTCGATGTAATGCCTGTTTCAGTTCATACAATTTATTTTGTAAATGGTAGTAATCTTATCTCTTTTTTCTGTTGGATCTTTCGGCTTGCATAATATCGAATTAAGCGACTTGACTGGCTTGTGCGCTGTATCTACATCAAACGGTTTCAGTATTCTAGCTTTAATTTCAGAGATATTTTTCATGTATGATAGGACGAAATTTCTTGTGGTCTTTGATTGTGGTTCCTTGTATTAAATCTAAAAGTTGACATATTGTCACTCCAACTATGAATGTGGTATTCGGTGGAAAGATAAACAAGAATAGAGTTTACGATCGAAAAAATAAACGTTTGAGTAACACGTTAAATCGAGAGCAGAGTATTACTCTATCATACAGTAACATTTATCATAAAAAAACGACGAAATTGAAACGAATAATCACAAGTTTTGAATCGTCTGCTTTGTATTTTGCCAAAATATTTATTTCGATGGGTCAATCAGATACAATTAAAGCTGCATCGAAAACACTCAATGATCAGATAAGAAGAACACATCAGTGTACTGATCGGAAAAGGAATACGTTTACACAAAGAAATTTGTGAAGAAACTGGAAAATGTGTAGGGAGTACTTAAAAATTACTAGATGAAAACTGGTGCCTCAACAACAGCACACAAAAGAGTTTTATGTAATGGAGTTATTTATTAGCAACTTAACTTACAGATATATGCTTCAAAGGTCTACAATATATTATTTCAATGCCAAATAAAATCCAAGTAAGCCTGCAAAAGAAAATGCGGTCTACATACAGGAAAATAATTTCATAATGAACGTGTTATCAGCTAACAGTTTCGATCCATCATTAAATATAAAATTGTACAAGTGTGAAACTGAAAATATCTCAATGATTGATTGACCGAAGTGCGTATCATAGTTCGGTTTTTAACAAACTGCGGAATCATAAATGTTGAGAAGCTGATGTTGACCGAATGAACACAACAGTTCTTCATTGTTCACTGACCTTAGAAATGTGATTGACACGTATATGATTCACAGCTGAACACTACGGTCAATGAAATATTTTGTTACTTAAAATTTCAGAATTCTTTGAATACATTTCGATTAGTGAATTTATAGGCTCATGAAGAGGTATATTATCGAACTTCCCTGAATAGGTCAGGAGAAGACATTCACAAACAACATTCAGCAACTACTATTCTCACAAGGATGATGTGTTTTCAGTATGAATCTTTCATGTTGATGAATGAATAATTGGTTACTAAGTGGATTCCATCATCGTTGACTTATATCTTAGGGATGTAATGATATCATTTTTCACACAAAATACACTCTGCTGTGTTTGAATTCTTGAGGGAAATTAGTTATTTTAAATAAGACATAAGAAGAATTTGGTGGTGAATATGTTTCATTGAAGTGAATATAATGAATAGATACTGCTGATTTGAACGACACACGGACTTCATTTGATATACAAATTACATGGTTCTCACAGGGAAAAGAAATAAATTTGTGGACTAACTCACCGATAGATTTACATGCTTTACTGATTCGCTGTTTCGCGCCAGTCACAATCCATTCTTAGCAGTATAGTTAGCGAACCCTGGATTTTCTGCGTTCAGCTATTTAAAATCAATATCACTGGTCTTTCACAAAAATTCAGTCACGAAGTCAATTTTTTTCATTTCAGCGCTTATGTTTTTCACGTTTCGTGAATATATATTTTTCTTCAGATGTGTTTTGACTTCTTTTTTGTTCTACAAAACATTGAGGGTAAAACCAGGTAAAATTATTTAGAATAAGTTGTAAAATGAGAGTTCTACTGCTAATCGAATAGCAGGGCGTGTCCAGTAGACTTACATTTACTCTATCAAACGTTATTCTGTTTTCACCAAATTTAGTTTACCTTTCGATGAAAATGTGTGAAATTTGCATCATTTGAACACAGAAATATATCTCACTTTTACTGTGTGTTAGATGAGAAGACTCAATTGAGTAATTCACGGGAAGATGAGCACAATGGTTCGAAAAGTTCACCGCAACACCTGGCAGAGTAGACTTAGTATACAAGGTGAATGACTGTATGATACAAGATGTGATATCAAGTGGTGTACGTGTACGAAGAATGAATTTAACGACATTTTCATAAAGACAGAAGAAGAAATTCTCGAGCATTTTTCTAGTTTGATTTGGCGGTAGGTTTCAAAGCGTAAAACGGTTTTTTTCTTATTTACTTTGATTTGAATTGATTAGTATCATCTTAACATTAAAAAGAAATGCGGAATCGAAGGACCACAGGCATTTGAAGGTTAACGAAATGCGGCTTATCTTCCGTTTTCAGTGCACTAAACCTTCGTGAAAGTTTGTTCGCAGTGAAATTAGAGATTGGGCAAATAATAATGTGAAGGCATACAGCTCAATCTGCCTCAATGCTCAGAATTCTTCAAGTTTAGGAAATACCCCATAGGCTGTCATTTATGTCTCCCTTCTCAGCGTTAATTTTGGAGTATATTCTAATCATAATAGAGAAAAGATTATTTGGAATTCCACTATCCAATTCCCATCAAACTTGTCAGTTCTTCATGAAAATCTTCATGTTTTCTTGATATGACTGATAGCTGAAATAATAATTTCATTGATATAAAATATGTATGTCTTAGACAACTCTGGGGTCCAGCATATGCCTGTCTTCGTAATCACCACATTTTTCTCATGATCGAACTTAATGCTGTTGGCGAGAACACTGTCATCGCACTCTTGCTTTCATTTCGAACTTACTATTGACCTGAGTGCCCAAAGCGTTTATTTTCTGTTTTCAGTAATCTGTGAATCCCCTTCAGTTCAGTGTTCATCTACTAATTTCAAACCAGGAAACTTTAAAACTGGAATGTGTGAAATTTTTTATAGATATATATCTTACTGTTTTCTTTGTTCGAATATTTTCCGGATAGAGAGCTAGATATTATGTGTAGAACTGTCGAGACTGTTGTGTTTGCATCCTGTCTTGCTTCAGTTACGTGTTTGCCATAAAAATTTTGGTTTTTCACAGAAATTTTCTTCAGCTCTCTCTTCTTTGCTCTATGGATTCAAAAGAGCATCTCGCATTCGGTGTTTATCCCTGCAGTCGTTCATCTTCCACGATCTTCGTTCGTTAACTGATCTTCGGATGTCTGATGACGCCTAATTATTTCCTTATTTTTCGTTCATTCCTAAAGCAGTTATGTTGGTTTCCTTCCAGCTAATTTCGGAGATATTCAGTGTTCTTCCCAGCATGTTAGCTCCGTGTCCTCCACGCTACTAAATAGCAAGCACTAGAGTGTATGAACTGATTGTTAAAACGAATCAAATATCTGCATTCTCCACTCTCAGTCAAAGCGTGCTTATGAAAATTTTACGAAGGTTTAACTTGAGGGTATTGAACACGCTTTATTCTAAAACGAAGTGACAATATTCTTCTAGGTTATTTACAAACATAAAAGTAGTGAATGTGTGAAGAATGTAATGTCTCTACACGAAAGAAAAAATAGAAGGGTTTGAAAGCATTGCAAAAATACTAACAAAACCTCTAGTACCAAATGTTCTGATCAAAGTTTGAATTTTTATTTTATAAAAATCGCTTATTTCATTACAGTTTTTAGATGCATTTTGAAATATGATTTTGTAGAAAGTTATAGAATAGACTTGATTTCGTCTGATGTAAAATAAAATCTATCATATAAATCAAATCAAAAACAACGTCAATTACTGTCTTATATATTCAGTCAAATTTCTTAAAATTTTTATCAAATACGCCTCGACCGAAAAAGAAATCTGCAGATATTTGATTTTTTAGAACAATCAGTACATGAATTTTACTGTCAATGTGTAGCTTAAGTAAAAGCTGATTAATCGATGGAGTACGTGAATGTCCTTGCAAACAACGGTAGTTTTTATCGAATGATTCTAGGGATCAGAGGTTTTGTCTTTTTTATTTCGCACTACTTTTTCGAGTTGAGTGGTAGATTCGGTATGCGAAATTAGTACTAGTAGCAATGACAAACTAAATGATTTAGCATCAACACCATGAAATTTCATCATAAACTAGCAGTTTATCCGACATCATTCGTTACCTCAGGAACTTTCATCATTCATAACTTTCTTAGATGGAGTAGACTGATTTCTGATTTTTAATTACACGACAGTTTCAGTGTTATGTTCATCATTACGTCGAACTCAGCTGAAAGGAGAGGGGAAATCATGCCAGACTTAATTCTTGTATCATTTTCATAAACAGCGAGTTAACAAAACGCATGAAAACACTCAAAAGATAACAGAAACGGTAACTACAGCTCTCTACAGGGTGATATTTTCATTCGATCATTTGGTTGGAATCCAATGGTCGATGAAACTTTGCCTCACAGGTGACGTCTTTAAATCACTAGTTGACGGAATTGACAAGTATTGAGCCCCGATGCGTCTAACAAATATATAAACAAATACCAACTCTCATTCATTGGATCACAGAAAGTTTCTGAAATCTGTATTTCGAGCTGATCCTTTTGTTGGAAAGTTTTAATACATTCCACTAGTGACAGTTTATATTTTTCACCGAAATACTTTCATCTACAAATCGCTCGAAGTCAAAGTGGTTGTTTACCGCAGTTCTGTAAAAAGATTTGATATGTTTTGCTAGTTGGTTAATAACAGATCACCCAGTGAGCAGCAGCATACATGAATACATACAAAAATATTCTGAGGCTATAGCAAATAAGCCTCATTTTGTGTGAAAAATCAATTTCTCTTAATCTGAGCATATACTTCAAGAGTATTAACCAAATTGCTTCATGAGACTTGTGTCAATTATGATGTTCCTTCTCCTAAAATACACTATTATCTTGTTGCTTGTGTTTGACTTTCCACTTGTTTCATTTTTATGTGACGAATTGACTTGTAGAAGTGATATGCGGTTTCGCAAACTGCCTGTTGCAGATTTAAACTTTTCAGATGAACTCTGTCTCGTAATAATGCTATTTAGTCTGCTTTATGGGAGCAACTATTTTCATGTTGAATCTTAATATTTAATGTATTCAGACGCGTATACACTGCTCGCTTATTCTTCCTTTGTCTTTCTTTGTACCTCATAGAAGTGTGAAGAATGCGCTGTCATAGGAATGTGGTTTCAAGTGTCAGCATGAATAGACCTTTTCATTAACTGACTATTATGACAATGCAGGTATGTCTTGAATCTGGATTTCATTACCTTATGTCTACCGGTTTTCATAAAATTCATCGTTTCTCCTAAAGTACTCAAAATACGCGAGGAATTTCTCAATTGGGTAAAGCAAATATTTTTGTCTATTCTCCTCATTAATTTTCACCAATCATCTTAACCACATGAAAAGATAAGACGACATATAGAAATTGAATAAGTAACGTCAATAGTCCCTGTCTCAATCATATATGACGAACTCATAATCATCCCTATGTTTAATGCCATTACTTAGATTAAACGACTCATTTTATCTGTACCCTATGACCATAAGTGAGTGAAATTTGAATTTGTCCATCTGAACTTTCATTATGTTTGTCTATTTTCTTGAGAAATTT